TGAAGAATGTTTAAAAAATATTTGATTACATTTAAACGCAAAATTAAATGACATTGTTCCACATTTTACCGGATAAGGAGCGTGGAAGTAAAGAAAACGTTTTAGTAGTTGTGTAGAAAGAAAAATAAAATCAGCCTTGAAATTCAAATAATATTAATAATAAAAGACAAGCGTTCGTAAAGACGAATAAAAAATAAAAAAGAATTTCCTAATACGCCCTAGTGACCTTCAAAATAACATAAAAAGTACCTCTTTTACGATTCACTTACGTCTCCATCTCAAATATAGAGTGGTAATAAAACAGAAATAGAGAAAGAGCAAAAATAAAACACAAACCGAAAAAAATAGAGAGAACAACCACCAGAGCATAAAAATTGAAAAAGGAAAAGAACTGGAAGTAAAAAAAGCAGGAAAGAAAAAATCCAGCACTGCAATTGAAATCGGAATCGCAGACGACAAAGCAAAAGAGAAATGAAATGACAACCCACTTGTTGCCACTCGGGGCGTATAAAAGCTAGCTTTCGGTTTGTGTAAACATTTATCTCTTTCTCTCTCTCTCTCTCTTTTACTTCGCCGCAGGAGAAGAAAACGGAAACCGATTGACTGGCAAATCAGGAGCGGTGTTCGGGTCTACGTCATTAATCACGTGAGCCAGGCGGGAGGAGTGAATGGAAGAAGGTAAAGAACGAGAGAATGGTAAACGAAAACGGAGTGGGAATAGAAAGGTAGAAACAGAAATCAAATTGAGACTGTCGCTTTGCGGTTTGTTCTGTGTGTTTGAAGGAGCACTTTTCGAATCATTTAAAAGAGGAGAAGAGGTGTTTAAATCGAGTGAGACTTTAATCGCTTTAGCGGTGCTACCTGTTTGCGTGCTGCCTTTCCTAACAGGTTATGTGTGACTGAATCAAAAATTTTATTTTTTCCCTTTTTTTAATGTAATTAATATATATATTTTTTGAGCATGGAATACTGTTCGAAAATTGATTTGCGTATAGTAGATAAGGAAAATATTTTCTGAAAATTTCGTTTCTGTATATATTTTCTACATGTTTATTTAGCAAGAAATTAATTGTTTCTACTTTCAGATAAATTATATCAGCGATAAAATTGATGCTGTTGCCAAACGACGATGCATAAGATATTTCTTATTTCTCCATTATGTGTATACAATCAATAATTCGAAAAGGATTTCTTAACAATATTTTACACGAAGTGCAATTCTTTTGCCATAGGTTTCATAAAAGGTTTTTTTATAGCTTGTAACTGATGATTTGAAATTGTAATTATACTTTATTGATTAAGGATTGGCTGAATTCAGAATAAAAATTCATTACTATTAAGATGATGATGATGATGAAATTTTGTTGTACTATATAAACTGCACGCATTACTCTATATTTCTTCTTTTCATTTTGTTCCAAACGTATATCTCTTTAATATAGTTATATTAGTTTTTTTTTTTTTTTTTTTTTTTTTTGGTTGTTTACTTCATTTTGCATTCAAAAAGAATGTAGAAACAAATAAATTGCAAGCATTATTCTATATTTCTGCGTTTCATTTTGTACCAAACGTATATCTCTTTAATATAGTGATATAGTATATATATATATATATTTGTTTACATCATTTTGCATTCAAAAAGGAAATGCAGAAACAAACTAGGTTTTAAAAGCGAAATTCTTTTTGAATTCATACTTAATTTTTATTCAAAAGTAAAGGTTTAGTTCCATCCACGTATAAGGTTTTATCACTTTTCTTCTTCACTGTTCTTCATTTGGATTCCTCTTCTTTCTGGTTCTTTTAGATTCCTTTTTGGAATTTTTTGTGATGGTTTATTTTAATTTTTACATTTTAAAATATTCTTTTTCAATATTTACAGGATTTTATGAAGTTCATTTGGATTTCAATTTTTAATCTTTGTGAAAAATTTAGTTCTAAATTTTTTTCTTTCTTTATATATATATATATTACTACTTTGCTTGATATATATATACATTTTTAAAGGGTAAATTCGTACTAAGTTTTTAATTAATTATGAGTTTTTCCGTTAAGAGAAAAGTGTGAAAAGTAACGTCGTGTACCATAGAGGTCGTCATAACGAAAACTGATTTGAATGTACTTTAGTCATTTTCAGAGCTTTTCCATCAGAAATTATAATAGAAGTAGTGTCTGTATAGCGCGAGGGCGTTATAATGAGTTTCAACTGTAACTAACAAAGAATGTGAAGTCTGATGAGTAATTCTAATAGATGCTCATCAATAAGCGTCCACTGAATTCTGTTAGTTAAACATATCTGGTAAAGTTAGATATATATAAATTACCTATACCAGTTCGTAGGTGAATGGTCGTTTAATTAATTAAAGAATGATAATACAAACTAGACTCGCTCTTTTATATCAATAAATCTTATAATTGTAATCGAATTGCATTTGTATATTCGAACGTATCCACATCAGACTTATAATTTAAAAAGTAAAAATCGAAATAACTAAAAATGAGTCATTCAACTTGGGCAATATAATAATGAATATCACATGATTAATTAATATTCAGCCGATGTTCCGTTGTGTAGGCATTATAATTAAAACGAGATGTGTGTGCACATGCTTGATAAGTGTCTCGTATCTTTTTCCCGAACTGATTTTGTGATCGACCCCCATTGTTTCACTGCTAGTCTGGAAGCGGTTCCAGGGAGGGAGGGAGGCCAGACAAAATGTGATGAATGGGGAGTCCCCTTGACAGCTCTTTGTTTCTAACAGTCTCCGAAAGCCAATTTGCATCTAGATTTGGTCACGCGAGTCCGGCCTATCAGGCTATGTAGAGGTGTGACGTTCGCGGGGGAGGGCAAAAAAATTGCTTTCCCTCTGGTGGTGATTTTCGTCCGAGACTGGAAAAATGGAATAGGCTTTTCATGATGAAATTTAGTGTGTTTGTCACATCGTGAATTCGATTCGTAAAATATCTGTCAGTTATAAAATTAATACTTTTCACTTTAGATGCTTTGACTTAGTAATATAGTGTTTCACGGAATAGTGGATTTTCAAAGATGAATAATATGAGAGTTTTTTTTTTTTTTTTTTTTTTTTTTTTTTTTTTTTTTTTTACATTTTATTATATTCATTCCAGTAAAGAAAATTCTATGTGCATAAGAAATACTAAATAATAATAAAAAACTATAATAAATTTTAAAAAAAAATCTGAAAAGTTTCTGATTTTAAATTACGTCCAAAGGGGTGTTTTTTTAACCTTTTGTGTGTTACGTTTATTTATTAAATATCATATTCTTTGCACTTAAACCATAAAATTCAGTTCAACAGCAATATCGCAAAATAATTTTAAAATGAGCCTATCTTTGAATTTCCGATACACATTTCCGCGCGCTGTAGATAAAAATATCCCTCCCCCCGTACAGTGTTGCCATTGCTGCGTTGGAAATCGCTTAGTTTGTTAATCAAAAATTCGTTGAAGTGTTACAAAATATGAAATCGATAATAAAACAAATTTCAAATTCAAATTAGGGCTTCAACATGCCCATATTCTATGGAAGATTACGTCATTCAAATTTTGATGGCTCTAGGTACCGTTGTTTTATCACAATGCGAGAAAAATACATACATTTATGCAGATTCTTTATTTTTTAATTTCTTTAAATATAATACAGGGCGATAATATTTGGTAGCAACAATTTGAAAAGGGAAACAACGCTTATCCTGAATCTACTCAAAATGCCAAAACAAAATTAATAGTCCTTCTGGGCAAAATTTCCTTTTGGACTATTAAATAAATATTATTAATAATATTGTTAATTTATTAACAATATTATAATAATATTTATTAATAAAATATTAATAATGTTTATTAATAAAATATTGTTAATAAAATAATAATTGCTAATTAATTCATAAATAGTAATTGATTTGTAATTGTTAATTAATTTATGAATAATAACCAATTATTAACAATAATATGTGTTTAATTGTTATTATTTTCTTATTTTTGCTTCACATTATTAGCTTCTAAGACTTTCATTTCTCTGTATCTTCTTCTATCTTCTTCCCCTCCGTATTATTTTCTTTACTGCCTCCCGGTAGTATATTTGTAGGGGGGTCTCCATAATTTGAAGCTATCCTTTACCATATGTGTTATTCGAGAAATTCTGGAGTGTAAGATTAGCCGACTAGGAGTTGTTCAGCCCCTACTGCATTTTTATTTAGCTAGAAACATAGTCAAAGCTATCTCGTTCAAGGATGTATTCGCGACTTCTGAGATGTAATGCGTGTTATATACTTGAACTTCAACATTATTCTAAGTTAGAATTAAGAATTTTTAGTCCAAAGGGGCTGTATCCTAGAATTACTTTTGATCTCGAAACAGCATTTTGTGTCGAATCACTTTTCATATTGTTGCCACCAAATATTATCCCCTTCTATTATATTTAAAGAAGTTAAATAATGAAGAATATGCATGATCGCATGTATGATTCTCGCACAGTGCCTACAGACATCGAATTCTGAATAACGTAGTCCTCCACAGGAACATGGGCACCTTGAAGCTCGAATTTGGAATTTCGAATTGGTTTTATTTTCCGTTTCATATTTTTAACAATTTTCAATGAATGTTTGATTAAAAAATTCAACTATTTCAAATCGAGCAGTGGCAACACAGTACGGAATAAAAGATTTTTATTTGAAAGGCGCAAGACTGTCTATAGGAAAGGTATGCTGTTTTTAAATATTTTAACCCAAACAGGCATTAGCCCAAATGCTCTTGAAATGCGTATGTATGTGTAAATGTTAAAAAAAAAAAAAAAAAAAAAAAAAAAAAAAAAAAAAAACCTACCCCGCCCCTTTTGGGCGAAATTTTAAATCTGAAAGCCTTCAGATTTTATTTAATATGTATATTATTTTAGAGGGAAAGTAGTACAGGAAAATGCTCTAATTTTCTTATAATAACGATATCGTTTGTTTAAGTATTAATAATATTTTAATATTACTTTCCAGCTGAGCTGAAAATGGAAGTTCTTCGAGAAAGAGAACTTCGAGAAACACTCGAAAAGCAGCTTCTTGAAGAACAGAGGACAAGAAGTAAGCATTTTTTTAATTACTATTACTCTTAGGAGCAATTCTGAAACATGGCTTATGTTTAAGACACATATTTTTATTTTCAATAACACATCAACGTATAAATTTGACTTTAAATTTGCTATAATTTATATAGCTCACCTGGAATTTGTAATGTAAAACGTTCGGGAATTTAATGATTTTTTAGCACAAAATGTACTTAAGCATTTCATTCGAAATTAATTTAAATACGTAACATGCTCCTTAATTAAAATTGAAATCAGTGTAAAATTTTCTCTATTAAAAGAAAAACATCACCTCGTTAAGATGATCATATATAAAAGTTAAAAGTGTACCTGAATGTGCAGTTAAACAACGTAAAAATATTATGGATAATCATGTTCTTTAACATGTTTATCTCCCTAGAAAACCAAATATTTTGGTCTTAGGGTGACTTTGTGACATTAGCTCCGGCGGTCATTATACATTGAACAAAATCTCACATGAACACCATATGACTTTCTTGTATGACCTATTAAATTACACATGTTTTTTGCTGCACTTCATTTAAACTTATTTCCTCGAATTTCGTTACAGATATATTTCAAATTCAATCAATTCAGTCCTCACTCCGCAAAGAAGCAAAAATATATAACAACTCAAAAAAGCATCATCAAGAATTTCAAATTACAGAAATACCTAAAACACCAAATAAAGTTAAAAACAAATTAATTATTTTTTTTTAGCAATTAAAATTAGAATTTTTATGCCAAAACAAGAAATTCGGCCAACGGGCAGGAAGACAAAATTTTCGATGCGCAAAATTTAAAGTCAAATTTCGGTTTCGCTGGGAGAAAAGACACTGAAGTTAGTGCACAAACTGACTTAATTCACTATTCTACTAACAGTTCCAAATGTAAATAAACAAAACATTAAATAACTTACGTTTCCCGAGCCTCAACATACTTGGACTTCGAAAATGAAAATATTTTATTTGGGAATTTTAATTGGCAACATATTTCTCTTAAATGGCTGAATTTGTTCATCAAATTCCAAACACAAATAAATATATTGCATTTACCGAATGGCAATTTGTTTATTTTATACCTCCGAGTTTTATGATTAAATTTTGAAACAGAAGTATCTCACGCTTTGTTGAGTAGCAACACAAAGTTTTAAATCGATGAGTTTTTAATCAAAAGTACGTTAAATTAACATAAAATATATGTGTATAAAGAGTACAGACATCATGGGTTGGTTTTTGAGAAATCTTATGTAAACAATGACCTTCCTTTTGTTTCGAAATTCAAAAGATCAGAACAAAAATGTAGATCTATATGAAAGACAAACACACCGACACTCTTCTTTAGTTTTACAGATTATTATTATTATTATTACTCAAGCAGAATATTATAGATTATATAATAAGGCTTCTTTATGTTAATTGACCAATTATATTATGTTTTTGATCTTTACTGTCACATCTTTCTTCCGTTTTCCCGCCAAACGCAAATTTAGTACACCTCTGTTTAAGTATTTCGCGTGTATTCGTATGACTGTAAGACAGAGTGTGATTTGCTTCTGGAAGCCATGTTGTTAGGATTTGTAGACAAGATAAAATTTGCGGTCTTCGCCTTTGCAATAGAATTGCCGATAGCTGATATCCACGCCTGTTAAGTTTTGAGCCAACTTCGCGTTAATTGATTTGTCTATAGCCTTCGGCTACTAGCCAATTTGAAATAAAATTTTACGTTTGAATTATTGTTACATTAAGTTATCTCGCTAGAAATGCTGGGTGAGTTGTAAGCACCAAATGTTCCTTCTTGGTTTTAAATACATTAATTAATACTGAATTACAAAAAACACTGAATTACATTTTTATTGCATCTTAATTTCAAATGAATGAAAATAATTAAAATAGGCTTATAAATTTGAGTACAATTATTTAATATTAAATTGAATATCAGAACTCAAGTGCAGGTATTACCAAATTCACAATTCTACATAATAATTGTGTTGTTGCAATACATTTATATAATTTTATCAAAGGATGAAACGTTGAGTATGCATAATTAAAGTACACTGCGAAGAAAAAAAAAAGGGGGGCAGTTGTAGATCTCCCGTTCTACTGGGCCGGTTGACGAAATTTAAATTGCGTTTTTCATGTTTCGAAAGCGCGATTTAGGATATATATTAGATTTATATATAGCATTGTTCTAACATAGATATTTTGACACAAAACCGGACCTTTTTTTGAAATAACATACCAATTTTGTTTTCCGTATTTCGATTCTATGACTCAAATTATGCGTAAATTTAAAATTTTGGTGCGAAATTTACGGAGAAATTCAAAAACTTATCTTGGATCTTAGGAATTCAAGATCCGTATATCTTAGGAAATTTTGAATAAATGATCCTAATTTTTTGCAGGTATGCTTAGAAATACATATACTTTAAGATGATGGCAAAAATGTTGTAGGTTATAATTCAGAATTTTTTTCAAAAATTTAAAAAACAAATTTTTAAATGTAAATTTTAGAAATAAATCATAAAAAATGGGCGAATTGTATTTGGAATGAACCTAAATTTCGAAATGGGAAAGGAAGAATCAAATAAGCTTAATTAAAAAAAGAGATATTAATAAATATATGTCAAACTCAATTAACATTGAGGAGTTAACACTTTGAGAGCTAATTTTTTTAAAAAACTACTGGAACAATTTTTACAAAACTTCGCAGTTTGGCGTAATTTGAGTCGTTGAATTGAAATATGGGAAAAAATTGGCATGTCATTTCAGAGGAAATCCTATTTTGTGTCGAAATACCTGTATTATAGCAATGCTATATATAAATCTAATATATATCCTAATTCGCACTTTCAAGATATGAATAATGAAATTTTTTTCACAGTGTACATATGTGACTTTATTTTAAAAAATTAGTTCTTTAATTATTGGCGGACTGATTCAAAAGCAAATTTAAATAAATTGATTTATATTAAGTACAAAATGCATTACTGTAAGCATATATGCATTCATGACTTTTATTTTATGTTCTAATTAAACGTGACTTCATTCATTACGTATATAATTAAAATTAATTAGAATAGAATTACTTAATTGTGAAGTTAGTTAAACATTTTAGAAATGTTAGTTAATTTATTCATATATTCAAAACATTCATATTTTCGACATTAAGTACCTTGTGTTAGACTTGTGTGAAATGAGACCTTGTATATACTTATGTGAAATATAAATTAAAGGTTTATGAATTATAAATTTCATAACAGCCAATAAAATACACGCAAAAAACTAAAATGATATTATACAAAATGGAATACACATTAAAAAAATGGCGAACAGAAAAATTTATATGTTCATAACTTCAAATCCCAGCAAATCATATTTATTAAGTAGCATTTTTTAAATGTTTTGTAAGTTATGTACTTCAAAAGTGAGAGATTTTTGATAAAAAAAACTTTTATTCTAGTTAGTAATAAAAGTAATAATTTTCTATATCTGTACTGCCACCAGAATATTATAACTCCTGTGCAGTCAATAAAATACACACAAAAAATTAAAATGATGTTATATAAAATGGAATGCACACATTATAAAAGAAAATGGCACATAGAGTAATTTATATACTATTCATAACTTCAAATTCCAGCAAATCATGTTTATTAAGTAGAATTTCTTAAATGTTTTGTAAATTATGTATTTCAAAAGTGAGAGATTTTTAATAAAAAAAAAACTTTTATTCTAGTTATTTATCAAAATGATTAGTCCGTCATCGGAATATTATACCCTCTGTGACCTTGTGTTACACTTGTGTGAAATGAGAACTTGTGTATACTTATGTAAAGTATGAATTAAAGGTTTATAAATTATAGTAGTCATAACTGTCAATAAAATGCCCACAAAAAGTTAAACGATGTTATACAAAATGCAATACATATATTATAAAAGAAAATGGCGCATTAAATAATTTATATATTCATAACTTGAAATTCCGGCAAATCATGTTTATTAAGTAGCATTTTATAAATGTTTTGTAAGTTATGTATTTCAAAAGTGATAAAAACTTTTAATTCTAGTTATTTATCAAAATAATAAATTTCTAAAAGTCTACTGTCACCGGAATATTACAGGTGTTAAGTAGATACATTTTCTGCATTTCAAAACTTTTGTCAATTTTAAGTTGTCAAAAAACATATCGAAACTGCAACACGCTGAAAATAATTCAGTTCGTAAACAATGACTCATTTAATGCATAAAATACTCATTTAATGCATTGCAAAATAAATTTTTGCGATGATATTAGATTTATAAAATTACATTTGAAAAATTGTTCATGTCAGAATGCTTTTTACTTTATAATTTATTCCCCCTTAAAATTTGATCATATTGGAATTCTTTGCATAAAAGAATGAAATGGAACTTCTTAAAACGTTGTGCCGAAACCATGAATAATTTATTTTACTCACAAATGCAACAGTTTTTTTAAAGCACAGGCCTTCAAAAATGAAATTAAGAACTTATGATGAAAAATTATAAATTATTTACTTAGCAATAAAGTAAATATATATCTTCATTTACCTTTTTTTCCCCGGAACTAAGAAGTAACAAATGTTTATGCCGAAGAAAATAAACAAGACTGCCATTAAAAAATGCGATGAAATTAAGAGCACGAAAAAATGTGTGTCCAAATGCTAGCAAAAACCATCAATTCCCCAAAGTTTAATTTCACAAAAGATATATTTCCATTTTCATTGGACGTGATTTATTTTTTCTTATTCCTTTGTTTTCATAAGGGAGAAAAAAAACATTGTTTTTATTTTAGAATAAATATGAAGGGGGAAAGAAACTTTATAAATGGTTCTTCTATTAATGCATTTTCGTTTTGACAATTTTTGCCAAACGATCTTTTCCCTCAGCTCTCATTGGCTGTGGGATATTTAGTATATATCATATGCCGATTCAAGAACCATTCTTTTTGTATCCCTCCGCGATCTTCATTAGTTTC